GGGTTTGAGAAACTACCACCTTTCAATAAATAGCACGTCCCGTAGCTTTGAAACTGGATATTTCCGTACATTCCTCAACTGATTTCTCATTAAATATCAAATCTCAATAAAACATTTATAAATGGCGTCAAGTCTTCACGTGTATTGAAAAAAATCAGCATACGTACTAAGCTAATCTCTAATAAGTTAGGCACCAGTTTTTAAAAAAACGTCCAACTTGTCCGCTGAACAAAGCCTGTCCTCCCCTCCCGCCTTCCCCGACCTACTGAAACGTGGAGAAAAGAAAGAATTTTAAGCAAAGTGCCTCAAAAAGAAAAATCATGATTTTTATTATTTTTTTTGTCACGGTAGCCACTGTACAGTCTTTTCGTGTGGAGGTGAGACCTCAGAGTGGAAGGGAGTGACAGGCTCTGCCTATTCTCAGGGAAAAAAATTAAGAGGTTTAGAATAAAAAAGCCAGAAGTGAGAAGGTAAGAAGCTGAGATTCGTTTTCCTTCCGTCTTAAAGACTAGGGTTTGGGCACCACCTGGAAAGCTGCCCCTGTGGTTTCCTGGTGAAACACCCGGGTGTCCCCAACCTCTATAAGGACCCCAGGTGGGTTCAAATGCTTACATAGCTGAGGACACAAGTTCATGGCTTAAAATCAGACTTCCGAGGAAATAGGGCAACCAGGCTGCCCGGCTGGGCCCAGGGCAGGGTGGGGAGCTCATCCCTGTGACACGGGACTCTTCTCTGCAGCCAAAGGCCTCCCTCCCTCTCAGGTGAAGCTGAGTCAGTGAGATGACCAGTGTTCCATCAACACAGAGAGGAGGACATGCCCATTCCTTCAAGCACATGCACCTTGCTAGGACAGCAGCTCACATCTGTAACCCCAGCACTCTCGGAGGCCAACTCAGGTGGATTGCTTGAGGTCAGAAGTTTGAGTCCAACCTGAGCAAGAGTGAGACCCTGTGTCTACTAAGAATAGAAAAATTAGCCAAGGAGGGTGGCAGATGCCTGTAGTCCCAGCTACTGGGGAGGCTGAGGCAAGAGAATCGCTTGAGCCCAAGAGTTTGAGGTTGTTGTGAGCTGTGATGCCACAGCACTCTACCAAGGGCAACACAGTGAGAGTCTGTCTCAAGAAAAAAAAAAAAGAAGTTTCACTTGTCTAACTCTGAGTGGCATGGGTTTCCAAAATACAAAATGCTGTGATATGTAACCTGTCAAATAAACCCAATACCAAAATCCAATCTGTCCCATAACACCAAGCCCCAGCAAATCCCATTCCTTTACGCAGTTGAGACGCCTTGTTGGTAATTCAGTTGTGGGGACAGATGGGAGGAAATGGTGTATTTGTAAGAAGCAGATCAGACCAGAATTACTGAATGGAGTAAGAACAGGTTTTTTGCTCAAAAGGGTGAGTTTTACCCTAAACATAGTCTTTGGCCAAGTTTTCAGGAAAAGGAAGACGAGGTCTACATTCTAGGGCTCAACCCCCACCACCTGCAGGAGAACGGACAGCCGAGGACCAGCCCTCAGCTCAGACAGCAGCTTGTCCCAAGGAACATGCAATTCTCACACGTGTCCCGCTACCAAGTACTCCCCATCCAAGGCCATTACAAAGAAAGCCTCTCCCGTCAGCTTTCGAGGGGATCTTGGTCACTTTGGCAGCAAGCTTGCCAACATGCCATTGGGAAGTCACATGAATGATTTTGAAAGGGACGTGGTTTTGAACAGGAAGTGCCAGTAGC